TTAGGAGCTAACCAAATGGCTTTGGCTTCTCCTTCAAGTTTCACCCTAGATCTTTGGCTTCTTGACACTCCTCAAACTTTTCCAAGGTCTCTAATAGAGGTAGAGACATTTGGTTTCACCTTAGAAGGTGAAGAACTCTCTTCAAGTGATGCCACTTCAAGGAAGGAGATGAACCACTTTAACTCTCACCACACTCTTAGGAAGAGGATAAAAGAATTAGAACCAAATCAAAGAGAAATTAGGACTTTTGAGAGATAAAATCTCAGTTATCTCATAGACAAATGATCAAAAGTGAGTTTTACAAGTGAAACAACCTATATATAGAAGTAGAGCATCTTGTAGTGCCAGTTAGACAAGGTAGGGACACTTAGATCTAGATTAGCCAATCATAGAGTGCCAAGTCTCACCTTATCTCCTAGGGAGACAAGAAGGAAACACTTAAATCTAGAACAACCAATCAAGAGGTGCCTAGTGCCATGGGAGAGTTAGGCGGCCAAGGTTGTTGCCTTCCATATAAACCAATCAAAAACCTTGGAATTGGTTTAGTTAGGTTCACTAAATGATGGTGAAACCAAGCTAAATCAATTCCTTGGATTAAATGGAAGAAAACAAGTCTAATATGAAAATTTTGGCCTAGGCCCACTAAAGGCCCAATTACTAGTTTCACCTACATACATGCTATTTGCTACCCCACTACTAATACTAAAAATATGAAAAACCATGACCTTTAATACAAGGTAAAATGGAGTAAAAGTCTCCAAGTAACATACCCTAAAATCCTAAGGGAATGACCTACAAAGAAAGATAAAGGTGCCTTACAAATAGAAAGGCAAAAATACACCTATACAAGTATCTACTATATACAAAGTACTATACAAGATATATACAATAGAGACTAAGGAACCAATAAGAGGAATCATACTCAATGCTCATGTAGAGCATAGGTCTAAAAAGCATCTCCTTTGTAGAAGCTTCTTCTAGCCTCCTAACCATGGACCTAGTTAAAGACTCAATGGTCTTCATGTATGACCTCCATATGGATGGCATGGTTTTGATGTGTAAACTCTCTGTGGATGGTCCTTCATCAAAACTTATGAGCTAAACTCAAAGTGTTACAAAAATTATCTTTTTTAAGTTACTATATAAGAAGATTCAAAGCTCAAGAAAAAAAATGCACAATATACACAAAAGACTTGTATAAAAAGACATACAAAGAAACACTCTATAAATCATACTTATTCTTTCTTTTAAAAGCTTACTAATATATACTAGTTGTATAACATCTAAGTAAGACGAACACAACATTTCTGTAATCTTTATAACCACTGTTTTACGGTTGAGCCTCAAGAGACTTGTCTATAAAAAAATACTTGTTTGAGCATAGAGAAACTTGGTTGAAAAGAATACTTGGCTGTTAAGCATGGAGAGACTTGTTAAAAAAATACTTAGGTATTTGCTTAAAAAGACAAGTCAAAGAATACTTAGAGTTGAGTCAGAAATGGCTTATTGAAAGAATACTTATATCTTTTTTTAAAGATAGTGGAGCTCAATCTGGTTGGGTTGAAAATTGGACGTAGTCTTGATGATTGAGATGAACCAATATGAAAATATTTAGTGTTCCATCTGGCTGTTATTCTCTCTCCATCTGACTAACGTTACTACTTTACTATGAAAAACATGTGAGTTTTTTATACACACTATTCAACTCCATTTTCTAGTGTTTATCTTTTCTCCACAAATTGTTTTAGAAACTAAAGTAGCACATTGATGGGGTTTTAAGTTGTGGTGCCCAGAGACCAAAGTGAGAACCATTTAGTAAGTAGTTGGCTCATGAATAAAAAGATGTTGTAAGTTGTTTCCTCTATATTTTATGTGGAACCATATGGGAGTTAGGTCAAGCCATACATGTATAAAGTGACCAATTGAGTAAGGTATGAAGCCAAAGTTTAAAATCCTTAACCGATAATTAGAAATGTATGTAGTATTTAGAGGGTAGTTGACATGCTAATTCCACAGGAAACTTAATTATGCATGTTAAGGTTATGGTAGACTCACACCCAAGTTGTTATATCCTAATAATAGTACTACATTTTTCTAGTTTAATTGGGAAAACTTGAGAAATCAAGTTGGCCACCCTATCGATCGTTGTTTATAATATAATACTAAATGTTGTTTCTAGTTTTACACCAACCGTTGTGGTTTGATAGAGTTAAGCCACTAAGACTACTCACTATAGTTGTAGGAAATCTCTATCAGTTGTTATGCGTGATGACACATTCATTTTTTAGTTGCTTAGCAATTATTATTGGTTGTTTAATAATTGCTCAGTTGTAACACCCTGATTTTCACAAATTATATGAAGGATCAAAGCCTAATATTTTGAATTTTAGTAGCCTAGAACAGGCCGTTCCAAACTACTAAAAAGGCCTATAAACCCTAGTTGGGAATGAGTCACTCCCAAAATAGAACGGGGCATTCCAAACCATCAAAATGACCTATAATCCTAGTTGGAAACAGGTCGTTCTGGATTAAGAACGGGCCGTTCCAAACATGGCCATTATGAGTTAAACTCAACTCTAGAACGGGCCCTTCTGGTTTAAGAAAGGGTCGTTCCAGATGCAAATTTTACACATGACGAACGAGTCCATAACGAGTCGTTCTGGATCTGAAACGGGCCATTCTGACACTTTTGACATCTATAAATAGCAAACTCTGGTACTACTTCTTGACACACTCACTGTAGACCAAGGAAAACTAAGAGAAGGAGATCAACCAGATTCTGCTCTAACTTTATCTTCTTCTTATCCAAGTAAGAGGAGAGTGAGAAACCTCGCTCGGGGGTGTGGGAATAATTGTTGGGTAGCAGGATTGACCCCCAATTCCTTTCCTGATGCATGCTTCTAGGAACAGGCACTTTATGAAAGTTTTATGTTCTATTTTTTGATTATTCTGTTGTGTTCCTTGATGTTTTCTAAGTATGATTATGTGTTTAATTTTAAAAATAGACAAGTTTTGATATGAATTAGAGTGCTCTGTGGGTTCTTGTGGGAAATCCTATGAAGTAAAATTAGGGATATGATGTTTGGATGATTTTGAGGCATTATATGTAAAATTGATGATGGCTTTATGTTTTGGATAAGTTCTTGGTATGATTTATGTACTATTTTGATTATATGACTACGAGAAGTTCCTTGTATGAGACTATGTGAATATGACGTGAGAATGTGAAAGGTGAACATATGATCTGTGATATGATATTATGAAATAATGTGACATAGATATGATGAGACGTGATAAGTGAAATGTTGAGTCAATGAAATAGTGAATGTGTGACATGCATCATGTACATATATGATCTATTCCAAGTGTGCCGCTTAGGCCGCATAGCAGTGATGTAACAAGCTAACAAGGTATACCTTGGGTCACTAGTGATGTAACAAGTTAACAAGGTGTACCTTGGGTCACCAGTGATGTAACAAGCTAACAAGGTGTACCTTGGGTCACCAGTGATGAAATAATTTATTTCAGGTGTGCCACTTAGGCCGCAAACTAGTGTTGTAACAAGCTATTCTAGGTGTACCTTTGGTCACCAGTGATGTATTCATGAATGAACGTGCCCCCAGGTATGTTGCTGTAGCAGCATACCAGTGATGAGAAATGTGTAACTTCCGTATAGCGCCACATGCATGCATTTATGAGTCGAGTCCATGACATCATTGCATGATAAATGAGTGTGCATGTGATACTAATTATGTATGTGTATTGTTTATATGTAATTGGTGCTTGTGACTTGTAATATGTTTGTTGTGTGTGTGTGCTATCTAACCTTTATTTCTGCACCTGAACTTGAGTGAGATGTTTCTCACTCCCTTGTTGTTCTTTGTATGTGTTTAAATTGTGTTGCAGGTGATCATCAGCATGAGGATGTTGGTGATGAGGCTTAGCTTCAGTTGGGCATGCTCTGATTGGATATGAGACATCGGGGCATAGCTAAGCTTAGTTTAGGATGCTATTTACATTAAACTATTTGAAAACTCAGTTTTATTTCTGTGTAATTTCACTGACATGTTATTTGGATCAAGTTTATGAATGTGAACTCTTTACCCTTATGTGGTTGGAGATTTGGTTTTTAATGATGAATAATTTTATTTTTATAATTATTGTATATGTATGTTGGGGTAGAGGGTGTCACATCGATTGTTAACTATTGTTCTGTTGTGTTTGGAGTTGTATAAATTGTTCAAATATGTTTGAAGTTGATTTGTTGTTTATCATCTATTATGAATGATTTGTATGATGATCAATTGTTAATGGATATCTATTAGTTGTATGTATGAATGAACGATCAATTGCCTAAGTTAACGTAGTGATTGAGCTAATTGTAGTTATTTGTGTTGATTCTTTCATAAGCTTACCCTTTCTTTCTTTATGGTTGGATTACAATGATTATATTTAGTATACGAGTAAGACAAGACTACTTGGATAAGTTGATTGGCTGGTGGAGGGTCACATTGGTAATGATTCAATTTCGATAATGTTACTTTGATGTGTAATATGGTGATTGTATAGACTCTTGAATAGCGACAAGACTATTTTGTTTACAATAATATTTAATTTATGTATATTGTATATATGTAATCCCATAAGAGATTTTAGGTTTTCAATCTTATGAGCAAGAATTTATTAATTATAAATTAAACTCATTTATAAAAAATTACTAATATATTAAATTTATGTCTAACACATTATTAAATTAATTATCAATATATTTTAAAAAATATTGAATTATAATAAAAACTTATTTTATCACGTTTTTTTATAGATTAATAAATATTAAGAGGCAAACATATTAAAATAAAATAAAATATTTTAATTATTAAAAAAATAAAGTTCACACGAAAGTATATAATCAAAATGTTATTTAAATAATAAAAAAAAACTTTATACTTTATATATAATTTTTTTTCCTAGTATTTCAAACTCAGAACCGAACCATTCGAAATCTCAAACCAAAGTATGCATCGCGCAGTGTAGTAAAACCTGCTTCCGCCCCACTCTCCGGTGCCATGGTGAACCTTCCCAAACCCCTCTCACCCCACCGTCTCCTCAATCTCCTCAAAGCAGAGAAATCCCCTCTCTCCGCCCTCAACCTCTTCGACGCCGCCACGCGCCGCCCGGGCTTCACCGCCTCCCCCGCCGTCATCCACCACATCCTCCGCCTCGTGGCCGCCGACCCCTCCCTCCTCCTGGCCCACGCGGCCCGCATCCTCTCCACCGTCCGCTGCCCCTGCCCTGAGGACGTGCCCCTCACGCTTCTCAAAGCCTACGCCAAAGCCCGCATGCCCGACCAAGCCCTGCACGTGTTCCAATCCATGCCGCACGTGTTCGGCTGCTCCCCCACCGTGCGCTCCTTCAACACGCTCCTCAATGCCTTCGTCGAGTCCAACCAGTGGCCACGCGCCGAGGGCTTCTTCAAGTACTTCGAAGCCGCGCGCGTGTCGCCCAACGTCGAAACCTACAACGTCCTCATGAAGGTTATGTGCAAGAAGCGCGAGTTCGAGAAGGGTAGGGGGTTGCTTACGTGGATGTGGGGTGCGGGGTTTAGCCCTGATAAGATCACCTACGGTACTTTGATTGGTGGCATTGCGAGAAGCGGGGATTTGGAGTTCGCGCTTGAGGTGTTCGATGAAATGCGTGAACGTGGGGTGGAGCCTGACGTGGTGTGTTATAACATGATCATTGATGGGTTTTTCAAAAAAGGGGATTTTGCCAACGCGAGGGAGATCTGGGAGAGGTTGTTGAGGGAGGAATCGGTGTTTCCTAGTGTTGTTAGTTATAATGTGATGATTAGTGGGTTGTGCAAGTGTGGGAGGTTTAGTGAGGGTTTGGAGATATGGGAGAGGATGAAGAGGAACGAGAGGAGGCATGATTTGTTTACTTATAGTTCTTTGATTCATGGGTTGAGTGAGGCGGGGGATTTGGGTGGAGCGAGGAGGGTTTATGAGGAGATGGTTGAGAGAGGAGTTAGGTCTGATGCTGTTACGTGTAATGCAATGCTTAATGGTTTGTGTAAGGCGGGGAAGGTTGAGGAGTGTTTTGAGTTGTGGGAGGAGATGGGGAAGTGGGGATTGCGGAATGTGAGAAGCTGTAACATATTTCTCAAGGGGTTGTTTGAGAATGGGAAGGTGGATGAGGCGCTGTCGTTGTGGGATAGTTTGTTGGAGGCGGATGCTGCTACTTATGGTGTGGTGGTTCATGGTTTGTGTAGGAATGGGCATGTGAATAGGGCTTTGCTGGTGTTGGAAGAGGCCGGACATAGAGGAGGTGGCATGGATGTGGATGTGGATGCCTTTGCTTACTCGACAATGATAAATGCGTTGTGCAAAGAAGGGAGATTAGATGAGGCAGGTGGAGTTTTAGAACTTATGAATAAACGTGGCTGTAAGTTGAACCCTCATGTTTGTAATGTGCTGATTGATGGGTTTGTTAAACATTCCAAACTTAACAGTGCTATTAAGGTTTTTAGGGAAATGAGCAACAAAGGTTGCTTGCCGACTGTTGTGTCGTATAATATTCTTATAAATGGATTATTAAGAGTAGGAAGATTTCGTGAGGCTTATGGTTGTGTTAATGAAATGTTGGGGAAAGGGTGGAAACCAGATATTATCACATGCAGCACATTGATAGATTGTCTTTATGAGAGCAAGATGATGGACACAGCACTTAGGTTGTGGCATCAGTTTCTGGGTGCAGGGCTTAAGCCTGATATCACTATGTACAACATTGTTATCCATAGATTTTGTTCTTCCGACAAAGTGGATAAGGCTCTGCAGCTTTATTCAACGATGAGGCGGAGGAAGTATGTTAATCTTGTAACCCACAATACCATCATGGAGGGTTTTTACAAAATTGGAGACTGTGAAATGGCATCAAAGATTTGGGCTTACATTTCAGAAGATGAGTTACAGCCTGACATCATCTCATATAATATTACACTTAAGGGGCTCTGTTCTTGTGGTAGAGTGACAGAGGCAATTGAGTATCTGGATGATGCTTTGGTGCGTGGCATTCTGCCAACTGTCATTACTTGGAACATACTGGTTAGAGCAGTGATTTTTTAAGGAGATTCAACTTGATTCTTTTGTGCACTAACGTAGATTAAGATATTTTTTTCAACTCCTACTTTTTCCTTTGTTGGCTACATCAACTACAAGTACTATACTTAAATACAACCATTGTGCTGATTTCCTACAACAAAAGGGATTCTGAAGATATTTAGGTTTGAGACCAAGCAGCATTTTTGAACAGGTTTGTTTAAGATTGGTAATTTCAATTGCAAATGTGTTAATAGCACATTGTCAAGACAATATTATGCTCCCTGATAACGTTTAGTTGAAGGAAATTTGAAGTTCCTGAGCAAATAGCCACTGGGATGGACTACATCTAATACAAACAGTCACAGTACGGCATCAGGTACTTGGTGTGCAATACAGCTTGCCTCTAGGGAGCCTAAAGTTTGGAGTTGGCTAAACAAAAAGGGTCATACTTTTTGGTTTCTGAGACATTTGTCCTCATGTAAATTTTGGGATATTTATCTGCCTCATGCTTTACATTAGTTGATTGTTTTCTTCAAGGCATAGGGAATTTCAGGCAGCAATTACTATACTTATCTATTTGATTCACCAATTTGTTAAGTTGTACAGAAAAGGATGACCTTGTGTAGTTATTAGTTTCTCATTAATTGTTTATATGACAGAAGGTGCAGAGATGCAAGTTAGCTTCCAAATGTACCTGTCTAAAAGCTAGTATGATTATAAGAGTATGCTTTTCTGTTTTAACATAAGATGTGAAAGAAAAGTTTCATCAGCATCACATGGTAACCCAGTTACTTAGATTTTGGCGATTGTAGTTATATCCCAAGATCTGCTGTTGTTGATGCCAAAGCAAAGCTGCATGATGTTATCAGGCCCAAGTTATAAGCTTCCACTTGGGTTTATTGCATCACGCAATCCATTAATAATGCCGTCTTCCACAGAAACTTTCAGTAAATCTATTTAAAAATTGAACTTCAGTTATTTTCCTCTTCAGAATCGGTCTTTCTTGTTTTTCCAGTTTCTAATGACATGTTCTGTTCATAGATGAATTGAGAAACTAAAGCCACAAGAATAGCTCCAAGAACTGCTACTTTTCTCCAATCGGTGGATGATGAGGCAATAGAATCTACTATTGCAAAGCCCAGCAGGCCAATAAAGAAGAGGTAAATGCTTTTTCTTGTCCCGCTACCAGCTTTTTCTCTGGTTACATCTTTGATTTTCTCTGCCTCCTCCTTGGCTTTTGCTTTGTCAACAGGTGCGTTCCTTCTGAGGTTCTTAAAGAATAGCCCTTCGTTTCTTCCGTCCTCCATTTGAACTTCAAACTCATCTAATTCGTTTTCACACTCTTGAATCCCTTGTCTGATAATTTCTGCAGATTCCTCAAATTCCACCATCTGGTTCTCTATGTTTTCTGTTATCTGCCAAACACAAACGAACACAACAGTTCGTTATTAAATTACCTTTCACATATAGATATTCCTTCATGCCGTGCTCGATGATGGGCTAGTGTGTTTGGCACAAGAGACAAAATTTTAAAATTTGCAAATTCAAATTCAAAAACTAAAATTGCACCACATGGTAAAATCAAATGTTGAACCATACTCTGGCACTAGCTTCATCTAATCCTTGGAGGGCATCTTCTCCAATTTTGTCAAACGCAGCCTTGGCTTCTTCACCAAATTGGGTTAAAAATGCAGATCTCTCGTCTAGATAGTCTGTGAGACGGACTTTTTGAGTTTGAAGCATGGCAATTTGTGCTAGCAGTTCTTGTTTACGGATATCTCCTGGTTGGGGAGCTTGGGAATCTGATTCATTGGACTTGCAGAGGCACAATACAGAACCTTTTGTGTTGAGGAATCTCTTGCGGTAGATGTTATATTTGATATTAGTAGGTGTGAAGAAAGGATGAACTGATTTGAGGGCAATCATCTTTTCATAGCAATGGAAACATGTATTTGCATGGGTTTGAAAACAATAAAGGAAACTCGGGGAGAAAGGGGATGGTGAAGAAGGACCAAGTTTTATTTGTGTTGGCTGCAAGTATTTTTGGGCCTCTTGTTTTCTGTACATTATCTGTATTGAAAACAAGGAAAGGGACATTTTTGTTAGACAAAACAAAAGGCAAGTTTTTTTTGAAAAGAGATAATTGAATTGAATGTACTTTAGAGGACCTCTGCAGTTAAAAAACACTGCACTGCAGGGTCCTGCACTTACCATCTATGGGTCTATAATTTTTTAATTATATTTTAATATTTAATATGTATAATATAAATTTAATAGGTCAGATTTCATGCTGCCGAGAATCCACCCTTGTATTTTAGATCTCTTTTTCTGTTACATAATTAGATCCAATTTTGAAAATAAATCTATTTAATTTAGATTGAACATATGTACATAAATGATTTCATCAATTATCATGTTAGATTGTTAGTAGAGATGGTAACAGGATAGGGTAGTAGTCTCTTCTCATCCATCCTTTAATGTTGATATCTATTTAGCAGATATCTATAATTTTTTATATATATATATATATTTGTGATTATTTGAGTATATATTAATATTTGGTAAAATATAAAATTTTAAATAAAAGGATAAGAAATAAAATAAAATTAAAAATAAATAATTTTAAAGTGCATATTCATATTAAAAGAATTATGATATATATTTGTACTAAAAGTCAATAACTATGAAGTATATATTTAGTGTAAAAAAATAATATAAAATTATCTTATATATAATTAAGAGTATTTTTAATATTTTTAAAGTGTGAGAACTTGTGGGTATGAATATAACAGATTATATCGGCATATATTTATTGGTAGAGATTATTTTATCACTTCTAATTTTTAGTTATACTTGAATAAGAAAAATGTTTCTTAAATTATTATATTACTTTATTTTTCAATGGTTTTCTCATATCTTAAATAGTGTTGTTCTAATATTTTATTTTTTGTTTAACTTTTATCTTTTTCATTTTATTATTATTAGAGGGATGAAGATGTTTGGTATTTTTAATAGTTACACACAGATATATATAAGAAATTACGGATAATTATTTAGAGGAAATATAAAAATATTTTTTTTACATCTAAAAATATAATGGTCAACTAAAAATTGAAGGTGAAGATAAGAAATGATTATATACATATTCCTATATTTCCTTTAGGGACATATATAAATTTGAGTTTTACATAAAAGAGGTTGAAGAGGATAAATAAGAAGATAATTTTAATAAAGTTGTAAAACAAATTACTATAAATGCTAATTAGCTAATTTGTAATATAGTGTTAGTCAATAAGCCTCGTATAACTTAAGAGGGGGGTGTGAATTAAGTTATCTTAATTTTTCTTCTCTTTTTCAATTTTTAAAGATGCCTTCTAAAAATTTATTTATTTAAGCAAAATGTATGTAATGATATAAAAATTACTCAACCACAATTAAGTAATAAGTAAGTAAAAGTGTAGGGAAGAAGAATTGCAAACTTGATTTTATACTAGTTCGGCCAAACTTGCTTACATCTCGTCCTCAAGTCTGTAACTTGAGATTTTCACTATTCTTGTAGTACTTACAAGACTTGAGCCCTCAAACACCTTGGAATACCATTTCCTAGTGTTGAGATTCAAAAACAACAAGGAGAACAACCCTTTCTCCTTCACAGATCCAATGATCAATTTGAAATTATAGAAGAACTCTTCTTTTAAGAGTAGATATTACACCTTTAAAGATCTTAATGAACTCTTAAAATAATGCAATAGAAATTGGCTACGAAGTTTTTATAAATGACTTTTTTACAATGGAGTTCGTAACCTTTCTCTGAAAAATTATAGGTATTTATAGATAATTATTTTTTAGGTTATGTCTTTTCATGAAGAGTTGTAACTTTCTATAATTTTTCATAAAAGATTCTCTAGTACTCGATTACAAGACTTGGTAATCGATTACAACGGTTTTCAAGTTTAAAATGTTTGAAACGTTGTATCATTTAAATTCAGATTTTGAAGATTCATCTTCTGGTAATCGATTACCAGAACACATTTTGTATTCAAAATTCAAACTTTGAAGTTTCCTTGCTCTGGTAATCGATTACCAGACAAATATTCTTATATTTTTACACAAACTTTTGATTATAGGATTTTTGTAAAATATTTTTTAACATTCTTTTTGCTTTCTTTTCAAACAACTTATTCTTAAATTCAAAATGATTAAGTTTAGGTTTTCTTGAAATTCTAATTTTAATGGCCAAGTAAAATTTGCAATACTTTTAAAAGTTCATTTTACATATTAAGTTAAGTAGTCAAGACCAAAAAATTACATAGACTAAAAAAATAATTTTAAATTTGAGAGATAAAAAATAAATTTATTTTAAATTCAAGGAACTAAAAATATATATAAACATAATATTTATTATATGTTATGTCAAGATTAATTAAGAATTATGTGATTATCAATGAACACATAGATTGATTAAGCTTAACTAGTAATATTGAGTTTAAATCTTATATATATAATTATGTTAAACATAAATATGTTTGATGTGTCAAATTATTCTAACAACACGTGTCTGTATGCGACATACTGACCAAATCTATGATGCACTGCCTGTTTCAATGTACTCATCCGACAATCCTATGGTTGCGGGAAAGAAGTGCATGAGTTTGACATTCTTATTTCAGTTGGCATGTGTATGTAAATTCACGTTTTTAAGAAATAAATATTTATAATGTCTGTATTTATTATCAATTCTAACGTAATTTTTAAGTCTAATATAAATACTAACAGTCATTCAATACACGTAGGCAATGTGCCATGAATCAATTGATTTTCGATAAGAAACCAATATTTTCACCTTCAGTTTTGGCGAGGTCTTAAGCACTAATGCGTGATATTACTGTACCATATGGAACACAGTTATAGAATGTGGATGGAAGTGCTTTAACTAATGGTGGGCTTAGTATAGAGTTCATTCTTACCCATTTTTGGTTTCGGGCAGTGTTGGGAAGTCCAATATTACCCATGTCAAGATAATGACTATCTTATAAGGTATTTAGCTTTGTTGGGACCCTTTTACAAAGTTAAAATTTTTGTTTCAATTGATCTAATATCCTAACATTATAAGAAGATATAAACTCTTTATATAAAATCTTAAAAATAAAATAATATCTTTTTAAATCTAAACAATATCTTTGAGATTTGAAATTATAAATTAGAATTGTTATGTGATGCATTCCATATTTTACATATTAATTCAGTCTTGCATACATCTCTACTTAATTAGGATTAATTTTATTTTATTTTAGTTTTGTCATTTGAAACTTATCATGTGCATTTCTGGAAATTATGGGGATGTTTATCATTTGAAAAGTTGACTCTGGAGACTTGAAAGTGTGAATTGAAATGATTTGGTGTTTTGGATAAAAGGAAAGACAATTGAAATTTTATTGTAGTTCAGATGAGCAAAATGGGGGATTACAAACATCTACACTTGAAGGAGGGATGAAGAAATTTGTGAATTTTCACACCCATGATTCGATCGTGGCAACCATAAGGAGACCACAAGATAGCACCAAGAGCCCGTGGTGTGTCATTAATGTGGATTTTCTTTGATTCTCTATTTTTATTTCAATGGAAGATGAACCCCTTTGTAATCTCGAATATAAAAAGACCATCTAGGATTAGGAAAAGGTTATGAACCTTGCATGTTGAATGCCTTACCTTTCTTTTTGATTATTTTATTTCCGTGGACACTTATGAGTGGTTTTTCTTTATATATGGGACTGTGCATAACCCTATGTGATATCTAGCGAATTGATTGAGTTACTATGTGTGATTTATGTTAATTTTGATTCTTGCCTATTGTTTTATTTATGTTGAATAAATTTGGTGTACATTTGACATAATCGTATTCACAGGAGTTTGGATGAGAGTTGAATCCATATTACTGAAACTATAAGAAGAACTTAACCGTAAAATTACGAAAGTAAGTTGAATTTTAAGAGGAGTATAACGAATTATTGGAAAAATAATTCAAAATTTTAAATTTAAATCTCTAAGATATTATTTAGATTTTAAAAGATATTGATTCTTTTAAGATATTATTTAGAATTGAAATATATTGTATTTATTTTAGAGATTTGTTTTCTTTTTTAAGATTGTGATGTAAAATCAATAAATAGAGACTATTGAGATGAGAAGAATCAGCCGACCTTTAAAGGGGATCACCACCTTAAATGAGAGAGGAGGTCATATGAAGGAGGGTTTCCAAGTTTTACTGGAAAACTTGTGAATGAGAATTTTCAAGTTTCGCTAGAAAGCTTGTGAGGAAGGAATTTCCAAGTTTCATCCATAAAACTTGTAAGGAAGAAGTTTTTTAAGTTTAACCCACAAAACTTGAAGGGAGGATTTTCAGGCTATATGTAATACATTTTGAGATAAATAATGAACATCCTTATGATGTAGGCATGAGGAGTTGAACCACGTTAAATAAATTTGTGTGATCTTTTTCTATTTTTTTATGATGTTATTTTAATATGTTTTTCATTATTATTGTGTGAAAAAGAAAAGAAGATTTTTTTTTGTTCCCAACATGAATTAATAAATAACTTAAAGAGTATGATTATAAATAACCACCATGAAAGTAGGAGGCTAATTTTAAGTTAATTTGTCTTTAAAAGGAACTTGTATGAGGATAGAAGTGATTAAAGAAATTTGTTGATTTTTTTTTTTTGAAAAGCACATCTCATATACTAATAAAAACTAAAGAAAAAGGTTATACAAAAGCTTTACACAAAGTAAAACAGAGACCTCCCATAAGCAAAGCTGCCTAAATCTAAAAGGATATACACTAATAACCCACTAGCTAACTCTCCAAAATACAAAGTTATGGGTCAATACACCAAGATGCAAAAAAAAAACTTGGTCTACAACCATTCCTATACATCCACCAATGCCGGGAAGTAATTTTAATTTGATAAAAAGAATTAA